AGGAAGGAAGGAAGGAAGGAAGGAAGGAAGGAAGGAAGGAAGGAAGGAAGGAAGGAAGGAAGGAAGGACTGACTCAGGATCCACAACTGACAAATGACAAAGGGGAGACGAAGTATAAATGCCTACATTCCTTTTACTTTATAAATCATCTTGAGATGGCTTTCTACCCTATAAAGTCTCTCAAAATACTTTAAATGCATACATTTATTAACAAAACCTAAAAGATCAGAGGGGATCCAAGTTATCTCCAAGAAGTATTACAAGTTGTGCATGGGAAAACATACAGATATAAATGCCTGCATGATTCTCCATGCACAAGACATACATGGAATTTCAGTGATTGTTATCAGAGGAAATACAAGCAAAGTATATTTATTACCGTCCTATCCTGCCCTTCAATGGGTTCCCAGCAAGACAACTTAAAAAAGCTAAACTAACTATTGCTTGTAATCTACAGAACAATTCCCTTGCCAGATGAGCTAATTAGACAAAATAGTTGGTCCAAATAGAGCAGATCTCCTGCAAAATGCCAGCTGACCATTGTGTGGCAGTGAAGAGTAGGAATTTTCTATTTTAGGTGCCATATAGCAATACTTTGGACTTCTGAATCCCCAGTCTAGTAATCCTAGGTAAAATTTACAGCTTTGTTGTTTCCTTTAAGGAAGAAAGATAAGCTTCCCACTGGAATCCCAAAGGTACTACAGTACATTCCTTTAGATATCTACCTCCACCAATAACTTGGCACTTATTCTGATCCTTTATAACAATCAAGTAGGTCTCAGTTAATTCCAACAGCCTTTTCAAAGTTCTCCTTTCCAATTTGCCAACAGATTTATTCAGTGATCAGAACAGGAATGTGTAGACATTTGGAGCAGCCCACTTTCATTCAACTGATCAGGTAAAGAAGAAACCACACACTGTGTGTTTCAGGGATTTATTGGACAGGATCAAATGGAGAACATGCCAGATACAATTCTACTCTATTTAATGAGTGTCCTATTGAGAGCCCTTCAATAGGACAAACGGATCTGAACTACAAAAATCCAGATGACCACTAGATTGCAGCAGCAGCAAGTTAAGAATGTACAGTATCTCTGTGCTGCAACCTAGTGGTCCTCTGAACTGTTGCAGTCTAGACCAATTTTAGACACACATCCCACTGACTCCTTGAATCTGCCTTCAGGATTCTCAAATTGGATGATTTAAGAAATTATGCAACCCTTATCATGTTTAAATATAGAAATGCCTGACTAACAAAGGCAAGACCCCTGATTAAGGCGAGGCCTCTAATGGGATGCTTGGATTAGCCAGGGACCAAAGCAGGCCTGAGTCCTCTTATGTTTAGGTTGGTTCCCTTAACTACTGTTTTTAGCCAAGTCGGGGTGCACTTGTCTAAACTGAAACGCCGGGGTTGGTATTCCTCCAAAGTCCCCCCCCCCCTTTGGTTTGTTTGCTTCTTGTACTTCAAAATGTAATCAACCCGACTGGGATGATTACTACTCATGCTGATGATTACTACTCATCCGCCCGCCTCCCCGCACCCCTTAGGCAAGGGTTTTGATAGGATTAGGAATACTGGGGCCGCGGTCATGTTCCCATTCAAAATAAGGCCTTCTCGTCACCCCACGTAAATAAGATGTTCCCGAGTTGTTCTTTCCCCCGGCCATTTCCTTGCTTTCGGCCAGAGAAAGGGCAAACGCAAACAATTCTTTCCATAAAGTCGGTTTTTAAAAACACACCTACACACACACAAAACAGGAAAGGAACATAGGGAGGGGATCCCTCGCGCTGTCTCCGCAGCAGAGCAGCCCGCCCGAAAGTTTACACGCTGGCTGTAGCCAATGGCGGGCTGCGGCGCCGAGCCAGGCCTGTGGTTTTTCCTTTTTTGCCCCCGCCTTTGCCAGTGAACTCATGAGTGAAATATGACATTCCGCCTGTAAAGAAAAGAGGGCGAGGAGGAAGCAACGAGGGAGGGAGGCAGGGGGAAAATTTAAACCTGCAGGCGACGAACTCTGGGCTTGAACCCTTCCAGGTTGCAGAATCGAGGGATCAGGAAGGGCGGGAGGGGCTGCGCCGAGCCTTTCTCAAGTTTTCGGCTGCCGCAAAGAAGCCTTTGAGGAGCGTCGGTGCTGGGGCAGACTGCGCTCCTGCCCCCAAACAGAGACGCGCAAGAGGGAGCTGGTCGCGGCCGCCCACCTTCCTAGCCTCGCCGCGATGGGGGAGGACGGGGTGCAAGCGGAGAAGAGCAGCGCGTACGTTTCCCCCAGCCCCGATGGGCCTCTGGATCCCAGCAGCCCTAGCCCGGTGCCCTCGGGCAGCCGCAGCCCCAGCCTGCTGCCGCCAGCGCCCGGCGAGGCGATTCGGGATAGCTCGCAAGTGAACGCCATCACGGTGCTGACCCTCCTGGACAAGCTGGTGAACATGCTGGACTCGGTGCAGGAGAAGCAGCAGCAGATGGAGCAGCGGCAGATCGAGCTGGAGGGCTCGGTGAAGGGCATCCAGAGCGACTTGAGCAAGCTGTGCAAGAACCACACATCCACCAGCAACACGGTGGCCAAGCTGCTGGAGAAGTCGCGCAAGGTCAGCGCCAACACGCGCGAGGTGCGCGACCGCATGGACCGCCAGTGCGCCCAGGTGAAGCGCTTGGAGCACAACCACGCGCAGCTCCTGCGCCGCAACCACTTCAAGGTGCTCATCTTCCAGGTCAGTGTGCGCAAGGAGAGAGGGAGGCTGCGGGTTTGTTAGTGGTGGGTTTGGATGGGGCCCCAAGGAGCGCTCTCCCTCCCATTGAGCTTTTGCAGTGGTAGAGTGGTGGGGATTAAACGCGGGTCAAAGTGGGGGCCGGCCGACCATTCTCTTCTCCTTGCAGGAGAAGTGGACGATAAACAGACGTAATCAGGGCAGCGCTCACGCTTTCCCCTCTTCGTGTATTCGTAATTCCTATGTATTTCTTATGTATTACTCTCATCTTCCCCTTGCCCCCAACTTTACAAGCGCAACATGCACAAAAAAATCTAATAAATCGGGGCAACTGGAAGTCTTGCTGAAACTCACTGTCCCTAAACTGAAAAAAATGTGAATCATCATAAATCTCGGCTCCTGAATTCCACCAAGTAAAGAGCTGCATTTATAGGCTCTGGAAAAAATTATTAGTTACTACTGGGCTGCAACCCCACCCAACGTAGCTGTTGGCACTCACTTCCGGCTGGATTCTCCCTCCAAAATGATTCCTTTCTCCAGATCCAGCAGCATCAACCACAATAGCAACAACTGCCTGGTGTATTTATGCCAACGTATGTCTGTCTGGACTCATTGGAGTTTAGTCCCAAGTTACTTTGTTGGGGATTGATATTTGGCCATCATCTTCTCAGTTTCATAAGTAAATGAATCACCGCCCTGGCATTTGTTTTGGAGTTACTGTAAAAGAAAGTTCACTTCGTATTTTTCCTGCATGGCAATGTAATTCTGTATGTTTTTTTTTTTTAATATGGGATAGCACAAAGTAAAGGCATATTTACTTTCTAAACGTATTGGACTGCCCCACCTTCCAGAGAAGCAAAATCAGCAGTCAAATCGAAGCTTTCAAGCTGTGCTAGGTTGCATTTTTCGCATAGAAAGGAAGGCCCAATTAAAAAGGTCAGCAGTGTTTTCTTCATGTAGGATTTCTCTCCTTGGCTCATGGATTAAGTTTGAATTTCGCCCTTTCTTGTTTTACAGTTGACATTAACCTATATTCGGGGCCTAGAGCACACAAAAAGTAGTCCTTAGAAATGCTTGACTTCTTTGATATCCTGAACAAATTATTCTCGCCTCTCTGTTCTTCTGAACTATTATTTTAAAAATGTTTTACAGTAGGAGTATTTCTATGGATTTTATTCCTTCTACAACTTCTATGTCTGGATCAAACTCAAAGTCTCCTTCATTTAGATCTGAAGTATGATAGCTTGGACATGGGTCTGCAGTTTAATGTTGCTAAATATGTTAAAAGATTTGATTGGTAAATGAATGCACTACAGGTATTCCCCTCCTGAAAGTTTTCCTTCTCCCTGTGCCCCCTTTCTTGTTACGTTGTGATGGTGATTATGGTGATTTTTAAAGGGCTATTTGATCCTTTGCATATTTACTTGAAAATATCTGCTGAGCAGAATGGGCCTTATTCTCCTGGCCAACCTAGTTTCATGGGCCAAAGAAAATTGCTGCTGTTTAAGGCCATCCAGTAAACAAGTCAGGACTGAGGAACTGGTGCTCTTCCAGGTACACCTGAGCTGCAGTGTCCAGCATCCTCCAAGATTAGCCATAAGATATTGTTTGAAGTTGCATATAGTGGCCAAAAGAAGGCAAGTAAGGGAGGAAGGATGCAGGGGTGGTGATCATGGTGGTGAGAGCAAGGCAGGCAGAGAAGAATTTTTGAGAAGCTCGGGACCTCATCTAAAATGTTGGTGGGCCTCAGGCTGTGCCTCTTGGATCTAACTTTGTGAATGAAAGTTAAGCCTTTCCTCCCATTCCCTTTGCCGCCTCTGTTACTCATTCTTGGGCAAGAGCATCCTTAAACAAAAAGTCAAATTGCTTGTTTTGTGATTAAGGAACACCTACATTGTGTTTACATGAAAACTCTCTGGGCAGAATGATATTGAAATCTATGTAGCATGCCTACATTTACATAAATCTCTTTCTCCCATTCCATGTATAGAAGCCAACTGAAGTAACAATTGCATGTTTCAGTCCTATTGAAGTAACAGGATGGCACTTGAGAGCAGCAGACAGGGGTTGTGGCTCAGGCCTCATGACATCCATGCTCCTCAGATGCCAATCACCAGCCAGTCTGCTTGACCCTTGCTCACTACTTATTTCAATTCATTTTGTGATGCAGCAGCCCCACCATGATATGTGTTGCATAAACAAAGCAATACTTTTGCCCCTACTGTATATACTGGAGTGCAAACTAGGAGAGCCTCCTCTTTCCCTGGCAAGGTCTCTCTCTCTCAGCAGCATTGCCTCTGGCATGTTAGAAGAAAGCAAGCTAAAGAAAAAGTCTGCCAGGCAGACAACAAGCAAGCCTCATACAGAGCACAGCTGGGTGGATGGGACAGGCCAGGTGAGATCTCAGCCAGAACAGTTGGAACAAGGCCAGTGTCATCCCAGAATCCATCATCTGAATGATAGGGTGGTGTATGCTTTGAAAATGATTCAAAGGAGTACTTCACAGAAGGATGAGCAGAGCATAGCACCACTCGACTATTCATTCAAGCAGCCCCATATTCTTCTGGGTTCTGCAGGAGCCTGAAGAAAATAGAGCTGCTTTTGAGTCCTTCAAGTACCAGAAACTTTTTTTCAGACCCATATAGAAGCCGGAAAAACGTGGGGGTGCTTGAACGAACAGAGGAATGGTTCGTTCTCATGTTCATGCAAGGACCAGAACAATTCTTCTCAATCCCTTCAGAAGTAAGGACAGACCTAATAAGCATCTATATGCCAGCCCCTATTTTGGAATAGGATAGAATATTCAGTGTATTTTGTTCCTTCCATCAGAAGTCATGATGGAAATCGGAAATCAATCCAAATGGTTGCTTATGGATTTTCAAGGCAAGAAACTTTTTTAATTGTTTGGAAAATAGCCAGATGCTTGAAACAAAGCAGTTAATTAATTGAAGTCATTAAAATGGGAAGAAAAGCCAGTTTTACAGCTGTTCTTTTGTGTAATCTCTCTAGAAAAAGCAGGGATGGTAATTTCCAAATCTGGATATATGGTGCTGAAATGATAAGCAGCCTTGCTCCAGTTCATGCATTGGGCACTGAATTCAACCCAAGAAGGAACGTGATTCACACTTTTTTTCCTGATCACCCAGCACCAACACCCCAGGCAGGTTGCCAGAAAGATTACAATGAGTATCTTGCTCTCGGTGCATTGGAGGGGCATGCTTAGGATTCTTGACATTCTCCTAGCAGTGAGAAGTACCAGAGGGAAACTATAGTCAAGAGCATACCTGGAATGTGTTGACCTGAAGTCAGTGGGACTTACTTCCAAGCAAGAATGCATAAGGTTTGGTGATTGGTTGACTCTCTCTAGAATTACATCCAGCATTGCTTGTTTAAGAAGCAGAATAAACTGTACAGATCGTTTTCATGGATGAAGAGCAATCTTGTCTAAAAACATAATGCAAGCTACCGCCTGTTGACTGGATACCCCAGTGAATTGTAAACTGGGGTACATGAAAAGCTGCACAGTTTACAGGTATTATTTATGAAACAGTCAAGGTTAGTAGTCCTTCAGAGAAAATATTTGTGGGTGTCTTTTCATCATAAGAGTTGTCCCAACTTTTTAAATAGAACTTTATCCAATTTGGCACCCTCCAACAATGTGGTGTTGGAACCATAGCTTCCAGAATGTCTAACTTGCAATTCTTCATTGGCCAGGAACATGGGGAGTTGTATTTTCAATGGAGGACATCAAGTGGAGAACTCAAAAGAGAGTAGACAGCTGTCCTTTAATCTCTCTACCTTGGGCCAGTTGCTTCATTAGTCACTAAAATAATCTATTTCTGTCTATGGGTTGATCTCCTCCAGCATCTCAAACTACTGAATTATTGCTGAAGAAACTACAGTGCAATGGAACATATTAGATGCCCATTTTACAAAATCACTAAGCGATGTCTTAATTTCGCATTTCTTATGATAGCATCTATGCATTATTTGTTCATTTAAAGTATTTTTATCCCACTCTAAAAAGCCAAAGAGAAGGAAAGAAGGGGGAAAAAAGCAAGCACGGGCATGAGCTTATTAAGCTAAATAATAATCATTTTAATAAGTAGCTGGATAGAAATAACTCAGGCATAGGGACAAGAGCTGAATGAGGTGGTCTGCCACAGAATAAATAGTATGATTCTATTTTGCATGTCTATCTGCTGCAGCCTAATGGAATGTGTTAAACTTTCAAACTTTTCAGATTTTTATCACTGTGTATATTACATAGCCTAGCCAACTTGGCTGATTTGAAAAAAGCTAAGCAGGATGATCATGGAGAAAATCTATCAGGTCTCTAAGAGTTGACACTGACTTGATGGCACATGAGTAAACAAGCAAGCAGGATCAACATAGTTAGTACTTGAATGAAAGATCAACCCTGGAGACAGTGAAAAACCACTTCTTTACTATTGCCAAGAACAATTCATCCCTGAAATCACCAGGAGTCAAATTTGATTCAAAAAAGATTTTACTACATTGCTAATCTTCCATAGTAATTTTTGAAGTCACCTGCAGTGTCTCTGTTGTTATGTTTATATATAGTAGTCCTCGAGTTACAACCATTCATTCAGCGACCATTCGAAGTTATGATGGTGCTGAACAAAGGGATTTATGACTAGTCATTGGAGTTAAAGCTGTTCCAGCACCCCCATGGTCACATGATCGCAATCTGGGTACCTGGCAACCCATTTGCACTTACAACTGGTTGCCAAGTACCTTGCGATCACATGATTGCCATTTGCAGCCTTCCTTGCCAGCTTACCCAGAAAGTCAATGGGGGAAGCCAGCAGGGAAGATTGCAAGTCACTGGGGTAAGTCTCCTCTACCCATGCACCTCCCCCAGACTCTCTGTGCTCATGCTGCACCAGCCACTCACGCACTGTCCCTGACCCACACAGTGCCTCCCATGCACCCTACGCAACCTCCCCAACCTGCTCTTGTGCACCCCATGCACCCTCCCC